ACACACGCACACGCACACCTGAGATCGGACTGCACACCTGAGAAACGAGAAATGCATGCAGGTGTCAATCGCCGGCCGAAGAATGGCCAGAAGAAGTGCAGCAGCCAGCGGAGGAAGCGGCCCCGAGCAGTGCATACCACCGAGCGGCAACAAAAAAAATTAAAAAAAAAGGCAGCCAAAGAAAAAGAAAACCGAAACCCAGGCAGACGCATTACAAATTCACACCAAGTGGCACCCACAGCCGCAGATACAGATACACTTACAGAAGACTTCCTGGGGCAAGGGAGAGGAGTGCGGGAAAATGGTTAATCATTTAGGTATAAATCTCGATCGCGTCTTTGTCTGACATTGCCCATGGGGGCTCCAAGCCAGCGACCAGCGACCATCGACCAGGCCACATCGAACCATTAACGTCCTTGTCTGGCTGTAATTTTACACTGGCGCAGAAAGCCGGGCTTAGAAGAAATAATTTCACAGAAAGGGTCTAATGGGCTTAAGCTGAGATACAAAAATTAATTTCACATCAAAGAAAGGGTTTAATTGTATAAGGTTCAGTATTTTTTAAGCCTTTACTTCCTAAATAATTTTTACAATTTTATATAAATGAAACCCCTTTACAACATTTGATCTATAGACTCCATCAAGATATAGGAACGTCTATCTTAACAGGAAGGACTTTATTTAATTAAAGATGTATGGTTCTAGAATTTAGACTATATGTTCTAGAACCCTGATAGTGTATGTTATAAAAACCACGTCCTTTTAATGATGGTCTCCTACAAACTCCATAATTTAAAAACCACATATTATTATCATATATTTTTACATAACCCTGGTTGAACCTCCATCATAACCCTTGCCCACTTTCAGTGCACTTACTGCATGCAAATGAATCCTATTCAGAAATGGCTCCAAAAGCTATAGAAGCATATATATAGGAGATCATCCGGGTGGACAGGGCGACAAGAAATTCCAAGAATTGTGCGCGTCAATTGATTTACTCAGCTGTGCGGCTAAGAGCCGAGCTGTGAGCCGTCCCGCCGGTTGGTTGATAACTCTAAGATTTGTTATATTTGCTTCATCATCGCGCCACAAACGAGGCAGTTGAAGCCGCACCACTGCAGTGGTGGGGGGCAGCTGGACACGATGGAGTGGAGGAGCGAAGCGAAGCGATCTTCATCATCATCATCAGCTCCATCGTGGCGAGCTCAGGCCGCCGCACACATGTGCGCACATTAAAAAGCAAGTTTCTCAGGTGTTTAAAAGCGTTTAAAAAGAAAACAGACCCGACAGGGGACGAGGGGGAGGGGACAAAGGGGGGGGACCCAAGATCCCAACGAGACAACAATAAACGCAGCCGCAGTTGAAGACCAAAAGAAGAGTTAAAAATACTCCAACTCGTACTGGTACTATGCCAAGAGCCAGTTAAAGCCATGATCATGATCTCGCGAGCCATGGAAACCGCGGGCGGATTGGACAGACAGTTGGCGGCGACGCCGATCTACAATAGTGGGTGATAATATAGAGATCTCAGTTATATAAAATATATAAAGCAGGGTTTACTTACTTGCTTATTTTAAGTTGTATTCAAAGAAAGTTCAGGTTAAAATTAGAAGCCCTATTTTAGGTTTATGGTAGTATCTCTACCCGGTCTCTACTTGAATCCTATAATTCAAGTATAAATTAGTAATATTATGTATATTGTTTTTTAAAAATAAAGAAACCCTTAAAACTACAAAATATTAAACCCAAAATCTTCCAACCATTGACCGCCATTGTAGGAGGCTTTCGACGACGAGCACGTGAAGGTTGCCCAGCCAAGTTGGAGATTTACTTAACGAAATCAAGAGGAAGCGTAGAATCTGTGAAGGAGGGGTCTCAAGGGGAGGGGAGAATCCCTGGTCTCGGAGACCCTCTCAGGGGCTTGGAGGTGGCAGTTAACCCAGCTGTCATACAGCATTGATTGCTGCGAGGCAATGGCAACACAAAAGCCTCACCAGCTCCGCTTGATTGCTTGGCTAGTCCGTGAAAAGCAAACACTGCGGAGGGGGAGCTGCGGAGGGGCTTGATGAGGGCGGTACATTTTTGGACCACGTACCAGTGACTCAGCAACTATACGCTCATTTTTTTTTCGGTTTTTGTGTGTTAACGATGTCTGGCTCGGAGGTTTCAGAGGTTCGGCCAAAATGTTAAGTGCATGTTTTGATTGGTTTGTGGCGGCCAAAACGGATCGAGATTATGGCCCATGAATAGAACTCCAACGCCAAAAAAAAAGAAGCACCAACACGATCATCTTGGCAGGCAGGATAATGTGCAACCTTATGTGCATAATCTGCTTAAGAGGTGTCACAGGCATTTATTATGGTTAAGGAAAGAGCCCGTTCCGGCCAAGGTACAAAAGCCAAATTAATGATGAGACTAAATTATGGATCTGGCCATAAGGTTCTCGGTGGAATGTGAGTGTAATACGTGAATCAGTAGTGTAATTCCAGATAAAAAATGTATACATACTTATAAGAAATCTCCCCCTAACTTGGCCATGACCAATTGCTGGCCAAATGTTACTCAATCCCCTTTGTTTCTAAGCCCTTTTCTGTTCCAGCCACCTGTTTCGTATGTAAAAATCCTGTCCGAAAAGGTGTTAGAGGTAAGGTTTTTAGGTGGAAACCCTTTCGGAAAATGGCATGATGAATTAAGCGAATTCTGGAAATTCCGCAACATTTTAACGGTGGCTGGAAATGCAGCGAGGAGGATGCACCAGCAACGGACCGTGCAACGGCAACAATGCTTTCAACTGCAACAACACGCATTAACAATGGGCTGCGAGATTTAACACCTGTGTGCCAGAATGCACTCTGGAAATCTCTACAAATATTTGACGTGAGTTGAATAGAGCTGAAATTTGCATTTGCGCCGAGGCGGCGAAAGAACAAAAGCGAACAGGTAAATGCACTTCTTGCCGGCCGCATCATTAACACGTCCACAGGATTAGCTTCATCCGCAAGGTGCGAAAATCCATCATAGATTTTCATGTTTTCTTTTTGGTAAGCATATGTATTTTTTTTCTGTTTTTGACTGAAAGTCTGGCCATGAGAGGTTTTTGAATCGAATTTGGAATGTTCGACAGAGTGGAATTTATAGCATTTGGCCATGGGCACGTTCGAGTGACAAATGTCAATTTGCATTCGATTTGCAAATGTTCTTTTGGCTGCCGTTAATTGCACCCCCACGCCCCGGCCACCAGCTCCCAACTGTTTCCAATCACGGGAGTTGGTAACTGCCACTGTGGGCTCCACGACGCTGTTCAAGCTCAAGAACACACCTTAAACTGTTTTCAAAACGTTTACTACACTTGAGGAAATTTTTATAAAATAGTTTCCATTAATAATAAATAATTTAAAATATTTTCAATATCATATCTTCAAAGTAATACCATATTACCTGATCCTTACTTTCAAAATCCCATACACCTCGTTATATGAGCTTCTGATTTTTCCGGTGTTTTTGGTTTAACCTCTATGGCTATGGGTATTGCTATTGAAATTGGAATTCATGGGGCAGGCCAAGAGGTAAGAGCCAGGCCCATGCTTATGCCCCAACTGGCTGCAACAAGTTCAAACACATGACGTCGCCAAGCCACCAAGTCGATTGTTGTCGCCTATCCCTCAGATGCCTTATGCCTTCTGCCCCTTGCCGGTTGCCCCTTTCTGGGGCTAACTTTGTGGTTCCAGCCTCTCTCAGTTCAATGTCAATTTCGATTCGTCATCCGCAGCTGCGTTGATTTCTCGAGCGACCTATGTATACCCCTTGCCCCTTGCCACACAAAGCGATTGTTTGCTTTTGTAGCCGCGTTCTTTTTTTTATGGCCATGTTAAGTTTGGTCTTGGCTTTTAACACACAGAGGACGGACCGGACAGCGATGGGGACAGCGGACGGACAGACGGACATCAGGACCACCGGCGATCGTCGATGGAGCTCATTCTAGTGTATAGTAATTTATTGACGCGACGCGATGTGATTCCCCTCCTTCTGGATGCCCTGGCTGAATGCGGACATGTGTGGGCAGCCCGGAGGCGAGATTACGTCGGATGCCCTTGCATCTCGAAAACTGGCATCTGCAGCCTGCAGCTGGCAAGCTGGCAAGACCAATAGGCAAAGCTCAGCCTCACAGTCGAGTATCTGTAGTTGCAGCTAAATCCACTCGAACGCCCACACGAATGTCACTATCTCCTCCTCCTCCTCTCGTTCTCGCTCCCAGCCTGGGATTATTTGTTCAGTTCAGAGTTACGGAGTCACCGATTATGCGCAGCTGAGGGCAAGCCTAAGGGCATTGATCCACGGAAGAGGCTCCGTCACTAAATTACAACATAAAGATTCCAGGTTAAAAAAATAAAAAAAATAACTAGAGAGATAGCCTTCTGAGGAGATGCCGATATTGCAGATATCTTAAATGGATTTTACAATCAAGAAGTCTTCTTTTAAGAGCGATTTCTATCAGACATCTTCAGTTAAGGTTTAAGCTAGATGGTCTCTTCTATTTTCCGATTTTATAATGTGTAATAAAAGCTTTAATTAGTAAGGCCCTTTACTTATTCAAAACTAAAATAAAAACAAGCTTTATAACTTAAAGATCTAACTTTGATTGAAAAAACATTGGAATGAAAAAAATGGGAAAATCGTCTTTATTGAGATGTATGTTATGTTTAATATTAATGAAATATTTAATGAAATCCTCATTAATGTAATATCAGCTTTTAGGCCACTGTGCACTGGGCAGGCGCATGTCTCTGTGCCGCCCTCTCACTCTCATTTTCCGCTCTCTGGTTCCCTAGCTCTCAACATTCTCGATTCTCCCGCTCCGCTTCCTGGCTCCAAGCTCCACTTTAGCCCCAGTTGGTGGAGCTAGTGCTCACTTGGGCCTGGTCCAAGGCCATCTGCTGTTGGTTCAACAACATTTGCGAGGGCTGCTCCTGCTGCTGTTGTTGTTGCTGCTGCTGTTGTTGTTGTTGCTGCTGCTGCATCATCTCCTGTTGGTTCTGTTGATGTTGCTCCTGCATCGTCTGCAACAAGAGCTCGCCCATCTTGGCCCGAAAGCGTAAGTTTTGCAGGCGCGTCATCTGCTTCATCAGCGGCAGAAAGCTCATCAGGTAGTTGTAGTCGGAATCGCCCACATGGATTACGTTCTTGGACCTGGCCAGGTCCTGGTTGGTGGACTGCATCAGTTGCTGCTCCTCGCGCTCGAGATTCTGCAGAAAGTTCACCTGCTCGTCCACCCGCTTGGCACAGTGGCAGATGCTGGCAGCTGCGGCAGCCAAAGCGCTTCCTTGACCAGAATTCGGGTTCCCGGCCAATCCCATTCCCTGACGCAGTTCCTGGGAGTCGGGGGAAAGCTGCTCCTCAGCCGCCGCACTGGCCAGGGAAATGCTCTGCGAAAGACGCCTCAAAGCCTGCGGAGTGGCTGCGTTCTGAAACTCTTGCATGAGGGCGTCATTGTCCGCCTCCATCTGATCCTTCTCATCCTTGAAAATCATCATGGAATCGGGCGCCAGTTCAGGATCGGGCATGTCCTCCTCATCGTTAGTGCCGCTTTCCTGGGGCATATAGTGCCCGTCGAGGAAGCTCATGTCATCTGCGTACAACCACTGATGGCCAGGTGAGTGGTGGTGGTGGGGCTGGTACTTCAGCCCACTGCGCCGGGAGAGGCGACGATGGCTGCAGCGCAGATTCTTCCACTTGGTGCGGCACATGTCCACTTCAAGCGAAAGAAAAGTAAACAAAATGAGTTAGAGAGGGAAAGCAACATGCCACATGGTTGGGTTTTGCAGAGGAAAAAAAGAGATGCAATGACAGGTATTATAAATTATTAATATTTTCATAAAATAAATACATATACATATACAAAGTTATGCATACATATACACATACCATATAATTAACTTACTTTAATGAAAATCTTAAAACCGAAACTATCTTTACAGTGTATACTCACCAGTCATCCCCAATGCGTCGGCCACTTCCAGCCAAAGTCGCTGCGTCTCCGTCCGGTTGGAGCGGTCCGGGTGCGTGAGCTCCCAGAGAGCCGGACGCTGCTTCACCTCGGCGATCAGCCTGTGCGCGTCCATGTTCCTCCTTCTTTATCAAATCCCAGAGACTGCGCCTGAGACTCCAACGAACTTCGGAGGCAGCCGGCAAATAAAAAAAAAAACGCCACAAAAAGCCGACGCGCAGGAGAGTCAAAACGTGCAGCTCTCTCAGAGCTGGCATCTCGTTCACGAAAAAAGGGGGGGAAAACGTAAAATGTGCCCAGAATGCATGAAAAGTCAATGCTTGTGGTGTTGGCCACTTTTCTTTGTTGAGACTTTTGTTTTTTTGTGTTTTGTGTTTCACATGGGAGGGTGTAAAGAAGGCAACGACCGTTTAATTGGGGATACCTACTTTCCAACAAGGCTTGCCCGAAAATACTATAGAAGGTGAAAAATTAATCTAAAAAAATCGATATATTAAAATTTTAATATTATTCTTGTAAAACATAACCCTTAACTAAAACATTTTCGAGTTTTTTTAATATATTCCCCCTTACTCTGATTAGTTTATTCTTATCACATAAATATTAATAAATTCCAACTATCTTTAATTAAAAGCTTATAATCATTACCAAGTTCAATGGCTTTGAAGTGATTTGTTTATCATTTTGCAAAAAGTATAAAGTACTTATAATCATTGTGGTGGGTTTGCTATTTATTTAATATTTTTTAAAATTCAAACATTGTTTTTTATTATGATACCTATTTTAGTGTAAAATACCTATTTATTTTCCAGCTTTTTTAAATACTGAAAGTATTTAAAATTGCACGTCTTTAGAACACTGTTTAAGGCCACCTTATATGATTTTATAAAACATTTCCAAACACTGAAAGTGCTTAAAATTTCATGCTTTTAGAGCACTTGTTTAAGCTCCTAATGATTTGTTTACTAATTTAAAGAGCATAAATTGTTCTGCTTTTACAAATTACGTTATCTTTTTCAATAATTGCACTCTCTTCGCTCTCAATTGCAATGCTTTTCACTTTCCTGCCCTTATTTGCTTATTTTTTGCTGTTCTCGCGGCTTTTTATTGCTCTTTCATTTGTTGATGTTGCTGTTGCTGTTGTTGTTGGTGCTGCTGCGCTTCTGGCCAGACATTGAACTTGCCCGCACAGTGGGACGGAATGCATTTAACACGCATGCGATATGGCGCACATGTAACGATGTTGATGGGTCGTAAAGTAATTTGCTATCGCCGGAGATATCGGAGAAGTTCCAAATATTTGCACAGCCGGGCGGCCGATGCTGATTGCCAGTTACCAGTTGCAAAAGTGCCCAAAAGGAGCAACACATGTTGCCAAGCTGCCAGCCGGTTGTCTTCGATTGCTATTGCTGCTGCTATGGTTGCTGCTGCTGCATCGGCGACAACAAGTGGACGTGGAAAATATGCGACAGCAATTATCTCTGGCAACGACCAGACCATAGCCATATAGCATATATATGGATATTATCTACATATAGCATATCCCATATGCTGTCGCCTGCTCGGATTTGCGCACGACTTTCGCTTACCATTCCAGGCCGTTGTTTGTCATTGTTGTTGTTGGTGTTGTCGTCAACTTGGTCGGTTGCAGCTGCCGTCAATCTGTTGGCCGCTTGCTGCTGCTGCTGCTCTTGCTGCCGCTTTCAAAATAAGACAAAAACAACGAAAATTTCCATGTGTCATTTCAAAAATGCAAATATGGACATGATCTGGTGTGCCCTGGCTCTCAGATGTTGCTCCTGTCTGCAGTCTGGACTCTTCCACATGTCCAACTCGTCAGGCGATCAAACCCCAGCCTGACAGGCCAAGTGACGTCTAAATTTTGTTCAGCAAAATGATTATAAAGGCATTTATGCATGCGTAGTCGCAGTCTCAGAGTCAGAACAATGATCTCGACCTAGCCATCCAAGTATTTTGAATACCAACTACACTAAGAACTTAAGTTTTCGACTCTACAAGATAATATTATAATTTAAAAATGACTATAAAATTTTATGAAAATATTTTAGAATTTTGTCTTTTATTCTAAAAATATTTATTAAAAAATGTTGTTCATCAATAATAGTTATTTTTTTCATTGCATTGATCCTATATCTTTGTAGCTGCAATTGATTTGTTTCCCGACTCCGTCAATTGTCAATGTTTGTATTCAAATTTCGCTGATCCAGGGTCTCTTGTTTATTATGGCCTGGCTTTAACCGATTTATGATGGCTTTGTTCCAGGTAGAGCTAGAAGAGCTGAAACCATAAACCTTGCCAGATCAAAGCTTTCCTCATATTCAAATCCAGGAAAATAAATAAACACTATCACAAGCGATTATGTTATAACTTGGGTTCTAACGCCCCATAAATGGCAATCGCAATTGCTGTTGACGGCATTTAATACTGGCCATAAAATGTTGCCGTCGTCGCCGTTGCTGTTGATTGTTATAACAAATTTGCATAATTATGCCGCTTGTCTTGGTCACATGTCTGGGCTTAGGGACTGAGGCCAGGCCGACTGGAAATCTTTGTGGAAGTCACCAACACGCGCCGCGCATCGGCAGCAGAGATGGAAGTTGCAACTGCCACTGCAACACCCACATGTTGCTCTTGCCATTGTTATGGCTGATGCTACCGGAGATTGGCAGACTTTGGATGTTCGGTGCTGTGTTAATTGCCGATGTTGCTGTTTTATGTCCGTCGTCGGGCTACAACATAATAAATAACCAACTGGGCCTCAGACAGAGACTCAGATTGAGGCTCAAAGAAAAACAGTTAGTTGACATTGACGCACTGCGAATCATAAAAACTGACAACAAATTGATTGCCAATCAGCAACATGAACACGACAGCGACAGCAACAGCAACAGTTAAGGAGCAACCAGCAACCTGCAACCTGCAACTCTGCAACCTGCAACACTGCATCACAGCAACTCTGCAATTGCAGGTGTCAATGAATGTTGCAAATAAGGAAAAGCGCGACAAGCGTTGCAAGACACAGAGGACGAGCAGGAGAGAGTGGAAAAAAAGTTAATTGACCAATGCCAATTGCTGCTAATGTGGCCAGTTATTATGTCAAACGGTCAGCCGTAAGTCTTGCTTTTGGCCAAGCGGCCTAATTGAATTCAATGCCGGGCCGGACAACTGTCACGCAGCTGATGTTGCAAAGCGGCAACTGCAAACTGCAACTGCAACGGCTGCTGCCAGCAGACCAACTGCTGTGATACAGTTTGGCAACCCACACGAAACAGCATCCGTATCCCGAGATGCCAAAACGGCAAAATGCGAATGAAAGATGTCCACGAGGCGCACATGGAAAAATTCCAATAGCAATTAAAAATATTTCCAACGCAAATGCAGCCAGGGGGCACATTGTAGATACTACGTTTGTGTGCAGCTGCAACATGGCACTGAAAGAAAAACGTTATAGAACATATACCTTAACATAATATACCAATATCTTAATTAAAATTAGACTCTGATCGTGGAGATTGTAAAAATATGAATATTAATCATCTATAATTTCTCTGAATGTATTCAGACTGATCTCACCTTGTCCCAGCTCCTTGGCAGTGTCTCCCCGGATCGATCCAGTTCGCATCCAGCGTCCAGCATCCACCATCCAACATCCAGTGTCCAGTGTCCAGCAACATCTGTGGAGTGGATCAGTGGACTGCGCGTCTCGCTTTGGCAGCTGCGTTGGCCGTTAGAAATGCTAATGAAAGTCAAGCGTCTGTCCATCGACATTGACAGCTGCTATATCTATGCTATATATCCCACCCCGCTAAACCGCCTCCCCCCGGGGCACCTTTCGATCCGGCGAGGAGCGTTTGTAGTGCGTTTCTGCGATTTGATTGCATGTCCATAGAAAGTTGCACGGGTACCGTTTTTGGCGGCCAGCTTGGTACAGCTGCCTAGGGGATTGGGTATCGATGGTTGGATTACGACTGCTGCCAGGACGGCTGCTCTCCATCTGTCCGCTAACCGACATATGCGCGAGATTCAGATGCATTTCCCAGCAGTAGCTGAAACTCCAATCCATTTCCTTGGCGCGCGGAATTTCTGCACACGTGTCGATCGTTCAAGTTTTTATGATTGTGCTTCCTGCTGCGGGGCAAGGACGTTCTGGTATGGTTTTTTGTTTTTATTTCTGCCTGCTGCTCACCCTCCCTCCCTCTATCCCTCCCAGCCTCCTTACATCCCTTCGTTTCTGCCACGGAACCCCCTTCGACGGGCCCTTCTACATACCTCCCAGCTGTCCAAATGGCATGTGTGCGCTTTCCTCTCCCACAGATGCAATGCAGCCGGCCTCGGGAATCTGGAATGCCAGCTTAGCTATTATCAGGGGAACACATGGCGGTTTTTAGGGGACGATATGAAATAAGAAGTACGATTTACAAGTAGGTAAGCGCTATTATGTGGCAAAAACAATAGAGTTTGCAAAGCCAAGCGGCCAAGCTACTAACTACTTCGAGGAGAGTTTAATTTGTTGGGAATTATTTTTATAATTTATTCTAAGCTAGAGTGCCAAGACAAACATGTTTTCTTGAGCTTCATTCCTTTTTGTGATTACCCCTTAGAGTTTTCTGCAAGAAACCAAGGGCTGGGCCGAAGCGGAAAAATGACTTCAAACGCCGGCTGGCAGCAACCAGTTCGCCTCATCATTTTTATGGCATGCAACTGAAGAAACAGCAGCAGCAGCAGCCGTCGATGAAGTGAAGAGCAGCACATGGCCACCGGATTCTCCTCAGTTTTAACCCCAAAAACAAAACACACACATAACAAGGAAATCTGAATGGGATCGGGCACGGCGTGGTGGACATGTGCGTGGAATGCCTCCAGCAGCTGTGCCATATCTGGTCTTGGATTCCGCCATCGGAAGTTTGGCAGCTGATAAAGGAGAGGAGTATACTATAGTATGTTCCCGACCCTGGACCAAAAGTCAAACCCGATTCGAGAGCCCGTATGGTTAGACGAAAGATTTATGTGGGCAAGCTGATCGGCTTTCCCTGGGAAATATATATTCTGATGGGCTGATCATTAAACTCTATTGATTGGAAAAAGTGATAAGAACTCCTTAAATATTACATTATTTGTTACAAAGCTATAGATCACTCCTGGCATGTTCTTTCCCTAAGAAGTGATTACATGGCTTGAGACATCAGCTTAGCTCCTTCCCGTGTTGGTTATCGAAAAGAAGTCATCAGAGGCAACCTCTTTTGGGC